GGGAGGTCATATCGGCTCGTACCAGCATGGCATGCCTCCAGCCCGACTCTGGTGGGTCCCTATGACACTAACATGGTGACCTTCATAATTTGATTTTGCATAGATCTTGGTATAACTACAAGTAGGAACACCAGCAATGCAGCACAACATATCGCGAAGATGATATGCCTCGGTCGGGGCGGTCTGATGAAAGGCGAACAAGCGGCATATGAACCACTGGACCAAAGAACCAAAGTGTTCAAGAAGGAGTTTACAGTAGCGACGCAGCTGCAAAACACATTAGGTGTTCTTTGCAGCCCCTTTTTCCAGGTAAGGGTTCAGGAGGGTGTAGGCTGGTTTAAGGCATCCGCCCCTCGCACCACCTAGGAATGCAGTTCGGCCCATACTGCAGTGTTTTGCTACCCACTCCGAAATAGCTCACGAAGGATTGAGCTTCATATTGGGCAGTCGACTACAGTAAATGAAAGTTAATGGTGTGGAATGGTGCGGGCTTCTTAGGAAGACCGGGGCTGCTACAAAGATCGTCGAACAAATCAAGACGGGCTGTAAAGGTACACAGTCTGATACATTGTTTGGGCTCCTTTATACTGACATCGGTGGCCTTCAATTGATTCAAGTGAAACTAGAACTTTCCTATGCCCGAGACCCCAAAACCACGAAAGCCTAAATCAACCCCTAAATCCTAAACTCTTTATGAAGCGGCTGAATGACCTCAGCAAGATCTGCAAGCCGACTTGTGACTAGTTCAGCTTATGGCGACGGGAGAGGGTAGAAATGATGGGTTACGATCGGTTCGTGAGAACAGTCAGCCACTATGTTGGGAGCTCGAATTCCTGAACCCTATGGCCCCAAGGACCCTAAATCCGAAAACCCTATACATCCCTACACCCTTGTCCTCAAACCTCATGTAATGCTGAGGCCGGCACTGGAAGTCAACAATCCGCACGTGTTCCCTGCACGGGACAAAGCAGCAGTTAAATGGAAGTGGGGCTCGAGTCGCAGTTTGGTTTTCAGCTTTAGAATATAAGCTTTAGGGTGTTATCAGGACCGGCAGGGTTTAGGGTATAAGGTCTTGCGAATGGTTTTGAGGTCCCCTGGGGCTTAGACGTGCAGCCGTGTCGGCTCAGGGAGCCTAATGTAGGGGCTTTAATAGTTACAAGTAGAAGAGGGTTTGAGGGGCCCATTCTACTATACTGATAAACAGGAACCCCCCAAAATAGTATAGGAAAATATTTAGGCCCCTATAGAAGTGTTCAAGCTTAAGTGGCACCACTAAGCGGGATTATGTAGGGACTACACTACCCAAAAAAGGTTAAATGTTACCTAATCTACTACTAGGTTACCCACTTCATAGGAAAGGAGGCCCAAACCCCAGGGTGGCGCGTTCAGCCGCGATGGTTCTGGAGCATTTGTGGCTCCGAGCGCTGGGGCTTTCACGAGGCTGGTCCCAGTGATCCATGTGAGTGATCCAAGTAATTACAAGTATACTACGATAACAACTATAGGATAGGGTTTCGAGTTTAGGCATGCTGTTGGGCCATCATTCGGAAATCCCCAAGCCCTGAACCCTTAAACCATACAAACGCAAGATCCACGGATCCCTCCATTACCTCCCTCAAACAGACCACAGAGAGATCCCAAGGCACCCGCCTTAGAGGACCCCTAAAGAAATCCATGAAGGAACCCTTTAAGGAATCACTAGTACCTCAAACCCTAAGCCCTTTAAAGGAAACCTATAAAGCCTAAACCCACATCCCTTTAAAGGAACCCTAAACCCTAAACCCCAAATCCCTTTAAAGGAACCCTAACCCCGACACCCTAAGCGCTTCAAAGGAACCCTCAAACGAAGTCCTGGTTTCCCTGCCTGTCGCTGCCCGCCAAGGTGGAGACGACGAGATGACGCAGGCAAATGTTGCGATGGGCGATGTTCTGAGAGGGTTTAGGGTTTGGGGGTTTAGGGTTTAGGGGTTTGTTTAGGGTTTAGGGTTATGTTCTGAGAGACAGGATGTAATTTATGTAGGATTTGGATTCAGGGTTTGGGGCTGCAGGTTTTGGGGTTCAGGGCTTCGGGTGTTCGCAATTCTGTGGAGCCTCTTGAACTCGGCTTTTGGACGATATGCTTGTAGTCTTGGCTTGTTTAACGTTTGGGGTTCAGGCTAATCTATGGGGCCAGGGGATACCATCAGGTTTACCACAAGGGAACTTCGATGCTTAAGATGGGGAAATATACGGGCCTACATGTAAACAAATATTAACGGGATCCGATGAGGTTCCTCATTGTAACCTCGTTTCTACACATCCGGGCTCCTGCAGGACCCGTTTAGGCTAGCGCTTCAGAGCAGTGAACTCTATAGCCTCCATAGCCACAGCAATAATGAATGGCCATGGAAGCAAGGACTGTTGCAAGTTGCGCAGATGACAAAATCGTAGGAGTAGCAATGCGATCGATACTAAGTAAGATGAGATAAACTTTACGGGGGAATCCGCAAGGCAGTCTCTCATCTCACGATGTACTGTAGCTTCTCCGGCAGCAGAGATAGACTGCCTGCCCATCTACGAACAGTACAGCTGGTATTCAGATTCTCCTCGAATTACATCTGCAATGCCTGACACGCTCATGCGGTTCAATTCCAGGCATGTACATAGAAACGCTGACGTCTTCATGCACAATGTATGGTAAAATAACGACAAGCCCTAGCGATCCGAAGTATCCACTTACTAGGTACTTGAATTTAGGGTACTAGTCGTGTACCACAGAATGTGGGAAGTATATGCTGATTAAGCGCTAACCCCTGCAATGGGGGGATCATATGACTATAACCCCTGCATCCTAAACCTTAAATTTCGGTGTGAATATAGAATTTGATAACTACCTAAACTCCCCAAATGTAGGTAAAACAATGGCCCAGCACCCAAATAATCCGATTATTCCACCTACTTCGGGGTCCAAGCAGAGTAGGTTTTTGGGCCCTGAACCCGAAATCCTACCTTATAAACCCTAAACCCTAAACCCTACCCTAAATCCTAAACCCTAAACCCTACCCTAAACCCTAAACCCTACCCTAAACCCTAAACCCTACCCTAAATCCTAAACCCTAAACCCTACCCTACCCTAAACCCTAAACCGTTAGCCTGCCTTGGAATGGAGATGCGCCACACCACGCACTACCTGCTCGAAGCCTCGGGCATGGCGGGGCTCGCGTTTTCTTTTTTCGCGATGTCTTAGAAAATATGTGGGCCTTAATAATTCGAACAGGGTTTTGGGGCCCATTATACTAAAATTAGAGTAAGGAACCCCCCAAAAGTAGTATAGGTACTTGTTTAGGCCCCTATAGTAGTGGTTTGGGCTTTGTGTTTGTTGGCTCCGGGAGTTTTTGGGGGCGTGAACGGCTAGAGGTAAAATAGATACACACATCTTTCACTCATTCGAGGGGCAAGGGAGAGACAGGGATCGGTCAAGCGAGACAAGGATGGAGGACTGCCGATGGAAATAGACAGATAAATGCGGGATAACAGACAGACATGTCGACCAAACTGTTGAACGGAGGCATGCGCATGCCTCTGCATGCACATGTGGGACAGCAGCAAGTGAAACTCTCCCTATGCAAGCACCCAAACAAGCACGTGCATTATCAGTACTACGTGTATGCAGGCGCATACACACATACACACACGTGCACGCGCCAGATACCGCCCATGGGCAAATCATGCAAGTCTACATCGGTACCACCAGCACCAGCACCAGAACCAGCACCAACTATCATTATCATGACTACTACTACTACTACTACTACTACTACTACTACTACTACTACTAATTACTACTACTACTACTACTACTACTACTACTACTACTACTACTACTACTACTACTACTACGCCTACTACGACGACGACTGCTACTACTGCTACTACTACTGTTACTGCTGCTACTACTTCTACCAACACCCTTCCTCCTCCTAGTACCTAAACCTGTAAACACTTAACCCTACAGGCACCTGAAGCCCGTGCAGTCCGGGTCACAATTGTTCACCTCAGACTCATTCATCCGCTGCTCCTGACGACCTCTGTTGCGTCTTCAAAGGGAAGGCGGCGCAAAGCGGTGTTTAAGGTTCAGGGCTTCGGGATGCAAGGTTTAGGGGTGGAGGTGCAGGGCTACAGTTTTGCGGGGTTAAGATCCCATTCCAACTCTGTGACAAGAGCATGCGAAGACTGCCCCTACTGTCGATATTACCATCCGTGCTAGTATTGATACTACTATTAATTACGACTACCAGCACCATTATTACGCAAACCCTCTTACATTGATCATGAGAGAGCCGAGGTGCAACTGACGATGTGCTCGATGTTTGCACCTTCACAGGGAGGCAACAGCAATCCTTAGACTTGGCCCCATTTCTCGAGAACGCTTGAAGCGTATTCAGTTTGTTTCAATCATCAACCCAACATGATGCAGGTACTAGCAGAAGTTTGATGTCGATGCTTACCACCCCACTTTGTTCAGTGAATGTACAGTCGACTTGCATCTCGCAGCACTGAGTGATGAAGCGATCCAAAGAGCAACAGTGGAGGCACAATCAACAGCAACACCAGCAAAAGCAACAGTTTCAGCAACGAAGCCGAAAGCTAAACCCATGACGTGAAACCCTGACTCTGGAACCCTAGATCCAAAGCCCCGACCCCAGATCCCACACCTCAAGTCCTGCACGCGGAATCCCCAAAGCACTGAAGCCGGGCAACTGAGCCCCATGCTCCGAAAGACAAGAGTAGACTTGGGGTTCAGGGCTTCGGATTTTGGGCTTTAGGGCTTTGGTGCAAGTTCAGGGCGCTTTTGCCAAATGCAGTGGGCCCTCTTTCTGTCGACGCAACTTAACTAAGTCAAAGGCTCCCTGGGGGAGCTGCATTTCAGAGCGCTTGGGCTGTATGCTCGGATCCCCGTGCCAGGACCCAAGGCCTACTGTCCATCCACCCACGGTCTCGGGTCGGGGGTTTAGCAACACCTAAATCGCAAAACCGTCACCCCGGGCAGTGGCACCGCCGGCAAACTCCATGACGAGGTAGACTCTCGAAAGGCTGTGAATCATGTCCAGGCACTTGGCGATGTTGGGATGCCTCCGGGAGGAATAGCGACACGCCTACGGAAAGCACGACAACGGCGGCTTGACCCAAAAAGCATCAATGTAACTTTACACCAACAGCTCTAAACACTTACATAGTAGTTCAGACAGACTAAAGTTACTACGAAGCCCCGGCTGCGCCTCACAACTTCGCCAGTGAGCCGGAACTCCCGGTAGATGCTCTCCAGCAGACCGGGATCTTGTGTCTGGCGCTGTTTTTGCGAGTTTTCGGTGCAGCTCCGGATTTCGGGCCAGTGGACTCGGCTTCAGACACCCCTTTGTATCGGGCTAGGGTTTAGGGTTTAGGGTGTAGGGCAGCGAGCGAACAATCACACTCACAACACTTCTCAAGGGACAGATGAGTCTCAGAAGCTGCCGAACAATCTGGCCTCTCTCATTGGTACCTACTTGTCGGGTATCATGGGGAACTAAAGGTTGACCTTTTTGGTTACATAGGGATTATACTACCCAAAAAAAGGTTAGACTACTAGGAGTATGCACTCCTCAGGCTGACTGTCCACAGCAGCCGAGTTTCACCAAACCCTAAACCCTTAAAACCCCAAACCCTAAACCCTAAAACCCAAACCCCCAAAGCCTTAAACCCTAAACCTTCAACCCTAAATTCCAACCCCCAAACCCCTAAACACCAAACTCTCTTTCTCTCTCTTCGCAAGGCCGCCTGTGATTTCTCGAAGATCTTGATGGCCACGGCCTTCTGATCGGCGTCCACAGCCTCAATGCAAGCACTACGTCCAACCTTGTCAACCCCCAGACCGAGGTTTATTAGGGTTTAGGGTTTAGGCTTTGGGGTTTAGGGGTTTAGGGGTCTTAGGGTTTAGGGTTTAGGGTTTAGGGTTTAGGGGTTTAGGGGTTTAGGGTTCAGGGTTTAGGGGCCTTAGGGTTTAGGGGCCTTAGGGTTTCGGGTTTAGGGGGATCAGGGTTTAGGGGTTTGTCTGGTTTAGGAAGTTTAGAGGTTTTCTACGGTTTAGGCTCTGGACGGAGCGCAAGCATGTCAGCTTGTCTTGTCGTGACACTCAAACGCAACGAATTCTTGGGCGTGCGAAGCCGGAGCGCCTAGGTTCTACCCGATTTGGCTCCTGTCTCAGCTGACTCTGCAATACGGTTGGTGATATAAACCCTGCATTACCCAGAGTAAGAAAAAGACCATAATTTCCATAGCTTAGTGTCCTTAAGGTAATGCAGTCTTTATATCATCAACAGTAGGTTAACGAAGTTCACATCTACAGGGAACTCCAGAAAGTTGGAATATGGAATAATGGCAGGATCCCCTATATTTTACCTTAAAGGGACTATGATAATGATAGTCCAAATTTCTGGCTTGTACTGTAAATGGGAGCCCTCTCCGTCTCCGGGGAGTTGCTTGCAAAACCCTGAAATCATCGCGAGTCTACTGGAAGCGCCCCGTTTAAAACACCTCATACCCCCAAGCCGATCAAAGCCCTAACATTTTGTTTAACAATTTTTTATCCTAAACAACTAAGACTAACTAACCCAACACTAACACTAACGCTAACACGAACACTAACACTAACATCAACACCACCATCACCAACAAGAACAGCTGCAGCAACAACAACGAAGATGACGACGGACGACGACCACGACAACGAGGATCTGCTGCTTAACGGCCCAATTCAGAAATCTCTAACCTCAGCACTTCCAAAGACCCAGTCTATGTAGGATTCGAATCCTAAACCTTCCTGCCCTAACTCGCCCATCAAACCCTGCAATCAAGACTGCCTAAGAACCCTAAACTTCCTAGCCCTTCCAGCCTGTAGCACCATGCCTTTCCTGGAAGGAAGCCTTCGGCAAGGGGGGGGCCCGAATTCATGGGTTCATGATGTAAGGTTGGGGTTTCTTGTCCGTCTACGGCTTCACATTGATGGCGGGGCGACGGACACGAGTATTGCATTCAGTCGCCCTTTGTCTCATCTTACTATATCCCGAAATCGGGCTTGCGGTTCAGAGTTTACGCAGGTCCAAGGAAGTCTGTTGGGTATGGTGGTGGATTGAGTAGTTGCGGTCTAGTCAGCACATTCGGGGAGAAGTCATGTGGTGCAGAGTTGAAGGCCAGTGGGACATGCTGTTTCTGCAACTATGGCCCACGAATGGATGCAATTGCCGTCCGCTTGCAGAGGTACAGTCATGTCGGACTATTCCACCACAGCCTCAGCAAATCAAGGGTTGTCGTGGTATCGTGTTTGAGATGCAATTTACCTGAACGGATGAACAGCAGAAGCGTTGCACGGTGTCAGCGGCTAGCTAATATTCATCTGGATCCTGTAGATGTACAACGGAATGCTTATACACAGAGCTAGGCATCGCCAGCGTGTTTAGCCCAACAGTTGTGGCTGCTTGTGATTGGCTGGCTCGGTCCTTCTACTCTCTCACATGACGGACATCCTTGCAAGAACACCCTGCATCCTTCAGCTTCCAAAATGCTTCAAAAGTCTGCATCCCTGAAGGACCATGACCCTTAAAAGTCGGGGCCCTATACCCATATACTATGAATCCCGAAATGGTATATTAACCTTAAGCCCTTTTAGGGTTCATTTCGTCCTTAAAGGTCCACTGCATCTGCCTGGTGATCAGCCGAAAATGGCCCACCATGTTTGTCGTCTCCAAGATCTGCTCGTTCACAGGACCTGGGCTACCCGGACCGCCTCCAATACCACTACCACTACGATTACACCACCACTACTACCCTCATCACCACCAGGACCGCCACACGCGACGACATCTGCAACTCCGACGACGACAGCGACGACTACCACCACCACAACGACCACTTTCACTACAACTAGTTCAAAAAATCAGAATGCTTCTGCTGCCCGCGACAACCACCACCACCACCACACCACCACCACCACCACCACCACCACCACCACCACCACCACCACCACCACCACCAAGAGACGCAACAAACTGCAATTGCAATATTTAGAGACAAGACCACATCTGAATTGGCTGTACGTACTGATACGGGATACGCCTAGCAGCTGTGCGTGTGCGAATCCTGCGAGGGCATGTGAAGTGGGTTTCACGAGCACGTAAACTCTGCAAATGTACATTACGAGAACGCCAGGTAACATTGAAATACACAGAAGAGTAGAATGATCGGAAGATGCAGTGACAGATTCCTACCCGTTATGTATCCCCAAAGCCACAAACCTTAAACCCTTCCACTTCGACACTAACCCTGACATCCCACAATCCTGAAACTTTCACAGTAGGGCCATTGAAGAAAGGGTGGTTTACTAATCGGGGGAGGTCTACATTGTACATTGTACGTTACACCCTCGCCACAAGCCTGAAACACTAAACGCTAAACCCTCAAACCACCAAGCTCCCAGCGGAACTCGGGCATCAAAGTCTTCGGTATCTGCTCCCAAAGCAAGCTCGAGTGCTCGACCTGCCGCTTTTTTGTCATGGCTTAGGCTTCAGGATGTAATTTTCAGGCTTAACTAGGGTTGGTTCAGGGTGTAGGGGTTCATAGAGATGGAACATAAATGGTTTAGGGTGTAGGGGTGCATAGAGACGGAACATAAAGCTTAAGGTTTAGAGCCTAGTGTCGGGGAGAGAGAGAGAGAGACATGTATTGGTATGAAGACATATAAATATGTGTACATGTCTGTGTGTGTGTGCGTGTCTATGTGCAGACTTTTGCTCCCTTACTTTCACTGATTCACACCTCCACATACTGACTGGAATAAAGCTGATACAGGCACAGTGCAAACATCAGCATGTCTATGTACATCGTGGACATACATACATAATTACATACATACCTACATACACACATACAGCATGCATTCATACGTACGTAACCCAGCTTAACTGCTGCAGATTCTGAACTGCACTGCTTTGAATGCGTTTTCTTACGAGAACAGATTTGCGATCACTGGTGCGTGCGCACACATGCACGCAGGAAAGGCTTGAATCAAACCGTTGAAAGAAGTTTCTACGAATTGAAGTTCAAAGCCTGAAACCGTCAGCCTTACACTTCATTCTCGCAACCCGATTTTGAAGTCGGCAGTCGGAGCTGCTTCAATCCTGTAGCAGGTACTCTTCAACCGCTGTTTCTACTTCGGAAGCAGTACATGGAAGCGCGCATATTCGCGTATCTACTGTACGTATGTAGGCATATCATATACAAAGTATTTGAGAAATAAAGATTGGTATCTAACACGTTCATAACTGTATATACATGTATACACATACCTCTGTAATTGCGTATGTATGTATGCATGTGTATATACATATGTATATATATATATATATCTTTATATATATATATATATATATATGTATTTATATATACACACATATATATATATATATGTATATATATATATATGTACATGTTTGTGGAATCCTAATGGGCCGCATGGTTATGTGTTATTGTTTTTGAGACATACAAACATACATGCATTCATACATGCATGCATGCCTACATATATTGGTTATTTACATACATACATACATACATGCATGCATGCATACATACATACATACATACAGGTAAGCAGCAGGCAGGCAGGCAAGCACGCAGACAAACAGAGAGACATATATACACGCAAAGCTCATGCTCACTCAAATAAACAGATGGGTGATATGTTGGCAGCCGCGTCTGGCCTGCACCTGTGCCGCTTCCTCTGCGGAGTCAAAGTCCACCTCTACCTCTGATACTACAAGCAGAATCCTCAACGCCAGGCTTCTGCAGCAGTTCTGAGTTACTTCCTGCCGCAGGCTGAGGTAAGAACGTTCAACATCAGCTTCGCACGCAGCATGTTCCTGCCACGAAGAAGGGTCTGCCATGTCGCCGGAGCAGCTTTTCCTGAACCCCAAGAACAGCAAACTTAACCCTAAATCCTAAACCCTAAATCCAAGAAGAGCAATGAAGAGCAAACTTTGCCAGGAGCTCGTCTTCCACATTGCCCGCGAGAGGTTGATCGCACGCTTTAGTGCCTCGGATCCGAAAACTGTCAGGTTCAAGAGGGTAGAGACCATGCTATAGCGTTTAGGTTGGTTGGTTGGTTGGTTTTTGGTTTAGGGTTTGAGGCTTAAGGCTTGCAGGGTGTAGGGTTTAGAATGGTTGTGGGGTTAGTCTAGGTGGAGCATCCGGAAGTTGTCGCACTCGTTGTCTACGTACAGATTCCAGTTTACAGATGTTCGATGCTGCAACGGCGGGGCCAAATTGCGTCAGCTTGCTGAGAGGCGAAGGAGTGCATGGTCGGCAATATAGAGGCCGTAATAAATTAGAATACGGTTTTGGGGCCCATTATACTATAATTATACTAAGGAACTCCCCAAAACCTTATTTTAATTATTAAGGCCCCTATGTTAACAGCTCTCCTGAACTGAGTTGATTCCTAGGCAAACATCGATGGAGCCTCCATTCAAAGCCCGAGCCTTCTCAACAGACCTCAGAGATGCCCTGAACGCTAAACCCTAAACCCTAAGAGATGAAGTTTCAAGAGCAACGGATGATGGCTAGACTTCATAGGCCCGGACTGCCACATCTCTCAACAGCTCAAAGTAGAGGACATCATCGACACCAGTGGAAAGGAGCTCGCTGTGGCGCCTGTACCACAAAAGAATCAAGACTTGGAGGCAAGTTCTCGCGAAGTGTCTGCCGTTCTGTATACTCAGTCCGGCCGAGCCTGACGAGAACCTCGTTGGTCTCACGATTCAAGAGAACCGGCTTCGGCATCAGCAGAACTGCAATGACGCAGACCTGCCGGATCAAAAACATGCAAAGGGAGCAGTACAAGACATAGGCTGACCGAGGTTCATGGCCTTAGAGCCTCTGCTTCAGCTCAAGATCATAGCTCGTGAAGGGTGCTTAGCAGTAGCTACGCATTTGGGTGGTCACGTCTTGTCAACACTTTTTTGTCCAACGGTCAAGCAGGCTCGGGCCTTCCATCAACCCTGGTTCTTCACAGCTGGCAGTGCAACACATCCGCTGTGAGGGGGGATCCAACGGCACATGTCGCATGCACAGATTGCTGCATGCACGATTCTACTGCACCGGCTGTATGAGAAGTATTCACATCACCTGAACCATTTTAGACTGTGTCTGCATCCGTCCTTCTTTTCTACCTATACCTATCCACTACCTACCTGCCCACCTGCCAATATATCTATCTATGTATCTTTCGTTCTACCGAACTGAATATCTGTCAATCTGTGCATCTACCTACACATGGGCGTATATATATATGTATATACATATATATATATATATATATATTATACATATGCACATACATATGTATATACATACACACATTTGTATGTATGTATGTATGTATATATATATATATACACACATGTGTGTGTATATATATATATATACACCCCCCCCCCCCCCCCCCCCAAGATCCACACCCGCCTCTTCCATGCTATTCCACAGCTTGCTTCTCTACATTTATCCACTACTCATATAGGCAGAAAACACCGTAAATACCGATAAAATCGTGCGTTTCGTCATGTGCATCCAAGCCTTGTTGCTACAAGTCGCGGGTTTGATATCTGTAAAAATCTGGAGCCGAATCTCGGCCGGGGATTTATGGTAGTTTATGTGTTGGACAAGCTGAAATGCTGGAGGGCGTGCTAGTTTTGTTCATGTAATACTAAAAAACCTCTCTCTTACGAAAACGCCTGCGTGCGTGGGCCATCTCTTTCCCGCTGCTCGTGAAGCGTCCGATTCTGATGCGACCTAATCGCTCTAGCGTTTGATTTATGAGTTACGAAATACAAAGAGCTCCTTTCATGTCCTGTCCATTATACGTCGAATATACGGGCGCGTTTATTTTTGAAGCAATACTCCAATAGTTGTTCTTTGCCTCATAAGAAATGGGAAAGCTCTCCTGGAGTTGAAAGGTTCATGTGCATATGCGGGCGCACAAGAAGGCTCGTCTGCAGCAAAAAGTAAGAGAGCTCTTGCAACGTTCCAAACATGAAGCAGGGCTGTTCATACTTATCAAACAAGAGTAATGAAAACCGTTGCTGTTCCAGAAGGCACATAAAACATTACTTCCAGTCCTTGACAACGGTTGAAAGCACCCAATTATCCAGTCCTGGACATCAGAAAACACTGTAATGCTCAAAAAATTCCAAAATTTCCAACCCTGAAACTCACAAAACACTGTAATGCTCAAAAAATTCCAAAAATTCCAAAATTCTGGCATCTATGGCCAGGCCGGGGGCAGATTCCTTAAAAGTTTGGAATTTTTTGAGCATAGCAGTGTTTCGTGCGTTTCAAGGCTTGGAAAAATGTATTTTTTTTGAGCATTAATCTGTCACCGGCCTGGCCATAGATGCCAGGATTTTGGAATTTTTGGATTTTTTTGAGCATAGCAGTGTCTCGTGCGTTTCAAGGCTTGAAAAAGTTGATTTTTTTGAGCATTACAGTGTTTCGTGGCTTGAAACTCACAAAACACTGTAATGCTCAAAAAAAATCAACTTTTCACAGCCTCAAGGCTCACTTTTTTTGAGCATAGCAGTGTTTCGTGGTTTAAAACTCACAAAACACTGTAATGCTCAAAAAAATCCACTTTTCATTGCCTCAAAGCTCATGAAACACTGCTATGCTCAAAAAATTCCAAACTTTTAAGGAATCTGCTCCCGGCCTGGCCATAGATGGCAGAATTTTGGAATTTTTGGAGCATTACAGTGTTTTGTGAGTTTCAGGGTTGGAAATTTTGGAATTTTTTGAGCATACTCACAAAACAGTGTAATGCTCAAAAAAGATACACTTTTTACAGCCGCCAAGCTCACGAAACACTGCTATCCTGGCCATAGATGCCAGAATTTTGGAATTTTTGGAGCATTGCAGTGTTTCGTGGGTTCTGGGGTTGGAAAATTTGGAATTTTTTGAGCATAGCAGTGTTTCGTGCGCCCCATGCCCTAAGAACCACGATGGCGTGGATCTTGGGGGGGGGCGAGCATATATATATATATATATATATATATATATATATATTACGTATACATACATACATACATACATAAAAACATACATGCATACACACATACATAATTTCAATATAGGTACAAACATACATCTGGATATCTGTCTATCCATCTATATCTCTCTCTGTATGTATATATATGTATCACACACACACATATATATATATGTATACATATACATATACATATACATATATATATATATATATATATACACATGCATACACACATGCATGCGTGCAAGTAAACATGCACATAAATACACATATATACACATGTATACACATATATATATAGATATACATGTGTATGTATTTATATATGGGGGAAGAGCGAGGGAGCGAGAGAGAGAGAGAGAGAGAGAGAGAGAGAGAGAGAGAGAGAGAGAGAGAGAGAGAGAGAGAGAGAGAGAGAGAGAGAGAGAGAGAGAGAGGGAGAGAGAGAGAGAGAAAAGAGAGAGAGACAGAGAGAAAAGAGAGAAGAGAGAGAGAGAGAGAGCCAGAGAGAGAGAGAGAGAGAATGAACATGCACTGAGAGAGAACACTAGCTCAGGGTCTGGTGGAGGTGTGTCTTCCGGCAGTTCGAGAAATTGCAGGGCTTTGGTCGGGCCTTCCGCTCAAAGGCCGCAAGTAGCTCAAACGCCACAGAAGCCTCCAAAAAATACCACTGCGATAACTAAAGTGCCTGGCCTGAGCTGAGCGCCGCTGAATTTGAGCCACGATCCTGGGCACAAGTGCTGGCAAGACTGGGTAGGATAGCATGGTCCAGTCAATGAGCCGAAATCCAGTTAGGAGAGCCCGTGGGAACGTGATTGGGAACTCGAAGAAAGCACACCAAAAACGTAGCATTTGTTCATTGCTGTTGCTCTTGTCGTCGTCGTTGATTGTGGTGCTCTGTTCTTGTTGTTGGTGTCGTTGTTGTTGGTGGTGGTGGTGGTGGTGGTGGTGGCGGTGATAGTGGCGGTGGTGATGCTGGTGCCGGCTGGCGATGCTGATGATGCAGTCGTAGCAGTAGCAGCAGCAGTTGTTGTCGTCGTAATCATCGTAGCAGTGGTTGAAGTAGTAGTAGTAGTAGTAGTAGTAGTAGTAGTAGTAGTAGTAGTAGCAGTAGCAGTAGCAGTAGCAGTAGCAGTAGCAGTAGCAGTAGTAGTAGCAGTAGTAGTAGTAGTAGTAGTAGTAGTAGTACCACACATGCTCGCAGGAGGACTGGTGCTGTCATGCGTTTCGGAGCCAGTTTGCACGACAGGAGCGGGGTTTCGGGGGGGTGGGGGGTGGGGGGGGGGTGGAGGAGGATAGTAACGTTCATGTCACTGCCTTTGGCGATCATGCCCAACACACTGGTATTTACGTCATTTTTGCTCTCTGTACAACACTGGTATTTACAGAGTTTTTGCCTCTTTGTGCAGCATACTGTGCACGTAATGCATTCCTTTTGCATAAAGCGCCCGCAGCAGAAGAAACATACCAAACATTCAACAACTACAATGCGCGTGTTTGTTGGCCCTGCCAGTACTTTCGGCACTTCATTTCATGAGCCTAAACGCACCGGTGTTTTACATAATCAACCTGGCGTGGCAGTCGAAAACGCCGTAGAGCTGCTCAAACTGAAGATTTCATTCTGATTGAAACGCATGACACCAGTCCTCCTACGAGCGCGTGTCCTAGTAGTAATAGCAGCAGCAGCAGCAGCAGCAGCAGCAGCAGCAGCAGCAGCAGCAGCAGTGGCAGCAGCGGTTGTTGTAGTCATGTCGCACTTCATCTGATAATCATGCTTGCACATGTGCAGTAGTAGTCGCTGGTGGTCGTTGGCGCCGGTGGCACGATGCTGAGGCTTGCTCGCACAGAACAAAATTTAACAATGATGATGATGATGATGATGATGCGTGCTAATGAAAGTGACAATCAACAAATGAAAAACATCTAATCATGTCAATGATAGTAATCGACCACTACATATTGCAAAACACTCTTCTGAACTAGAGGGTCATGCCGCTTACTGTATCCATTGCTACACACAGCATAATTGGCAGATTGTGGGCGAAGACAGTGCCAGGCCTCTTGGCTTGAACCATCTCCTCTTGGTACTCCAGAGTGCAAGGGATCAGAACCTTAAACATGGCTTGGGTACGGCCCCCATACAGTAACAGTCTATAATAGGGCTACTATTAAGGGCCTTATATATCTGCATTATGAATATTATCCAGCTGTTACTGAGTGCAAGGGATCAGAACCTTAAACATGGCAGACTAGCTGACAATCTCTTGGATGGAAGCAGGATTTGTTGTCAACTTCGTTGGTTCAATGCAGGCAGGCTAAGGGCTTACCATTACTGTTCCTGATACTGCTGGTATTACTATTACCATTACTATTACTGTTACGATTACAGTAGGCGCTGGTCGTTTGCTTGGCTTCTGCACTTGGGGAAATGCATTGTCAGCCCCAGTGCAGGAAGCATTGTGACACTTCTCTCAGCGGAAAGCCTTGTCCCATCAACCATTACAATATGCTATACTCAATATGCTATACTACTATAGCCTACTACAGCATAACACACTTTTTCCCGACATCTTGGCTGAATGCAGCACCAGCAAATTCTTCGGAACGCACAGAGCTCACACGTCTGAGGAATGCACATTGTCTGCCCGCAGTAGAGCCTGCGGGTTTAGGGTCCAGGGCTATAGGCAAGGGCATCACAATGATGGCAACTTGCGCTGAAAATGGCAAGCGAAAACCTGCTGCAGCATTGCGACAAAATCGTACCGAACCACCCCAAGCCCCCACAGTGCCACATTCACAGGAAAGCAATAAATCAAAGAAGCTGAAAAGCACCACTCAAACCCAAAGACCCCTTGTCACCATATGGCAGATACTCTAAGGCATAAACCCTACACCCTGAAACCTAGAAAACCCAAAGGCCTCAAGCTATACACCCTGAAACCCTCAAACTTTGCAAACCCTAAACATGCACAAGCCAAATATTTAGCTGTAAGCTGAATATCAGCAGCGCTGAAGCGGCCTGGGTCAGATCGCGGTCGTTTAGCAAACCGTCGGCTGCATCAGGCCTTAAGCTCATATAACGACCTTACTAGTACCAGTTAAAATAAGGCTCCTTTGAAGGATGCCTAGAACTTGGTTGCTGAGTTCATAAGCCCGCCAAAAGTGTACACTTTTAGTTTTATAGTGGGTACGATTATCACAAAAAGGGTGAAGTGTATCCATTCAGCTACTAAGAGAAGGGATCGTTTAAGGGTTTCAACAAGGGATTTTATTGGGGGGGGGGGGCTGGGGATTTGGGGGTGGGGGGTAGTCAATATGTTTGGAATACGGATTTGGGCTCCTTTACCCTAAGGAGTAATACTGATAACTATTTAGGCTTCAAGACTAGGTTGGGTTCACTTCAGGGTTCTTTTAACGATCACTTTTAAAGGGTTGTAGAAGGGCAGCATCCCGACTTCAGTGCTTGATCTTTGCACCTGGGCATCTGCGACCCTATATGGGACATTTTGTCAGTCAAGGCTTGGCCGCTCGGCGGTACATGTCTTGAATAAATGCCGTCGCTGAGGTCACTGGTGATATGAAAACCACTCTCCGTTCTTGTGTCGGGAACGTAAGGCTCACGAGTCTTGATACCACAGTGAGCTTGTTGAGGCTGTTTGGGTTTCAAGACTCGATCAGTGAGTTGATGGGCTGGGGGCCTTGGTGATCAGAATGGTGTTGGGGGGAACACTATGTAAAGTATACTTATGATAAGGAGCCCCCAAGTATATAGTATAGTAAAGATTTAGGCCCTTAGAGTAACCATATAGAACCGTGCTTTCGGAAATTGTGTTGGAGATGCCGGAGCAGCCACGAGTGGTCATGAGGTGAGCACAACAACAAATCATGTGCCAACACAGACAGCGAGGACATGCAAGGACCTTGCCGAACTTCGCAAAACTCTTGCAGTATGCGTTTGAGGATTATGTCCAAGCTTTACGACACCCGAAACCCTAAACCTTTCTGATGGTTGAATGTAGGGAAACTTCACAGGAACACAAAGATTTGCTTCTGCAAGCTGCGTCATCCTGATCGTACGCACTTCATCCATAGACGGCAAAACATGTATCCGTTTGTTCCAGTGTGCTTCCTGATGGGTTCATATGAGGCCGCCACACTGCTAAAACCTAAAGCCTACACCCAAAAACCTAAGTAAACCCCTAAACTCCAGACCCAGTTCCCAAGTTCTCAAACGATAGAGGCGATGATTCCCGCTCTTTTCGATCCTTCGCGGGTGATGGTGCGACTTGAGTCGGCCCATCGTCAGCAGCTCACGCACATCAAAAACCTGAGTTGTGGTATAAAAGCGCAGGCAAGAAGTAGTTGAGAAAAGGCAGCTATTGAAAAAACAAATGCGCATAACCTAAGGAAGATAGTCCCAGAACAAACTTCTGGATAAACCTTTCTTCAAGACAATGTTAAAACAGTTTAAGACGGTAATGTAGGGGGCCTGAGTACTTAGAATACGGTTCGGGGTATATTACACTCTAATTGCAATGAGGAATAAACTCCTAAACCTAAATGCTATGTTGGCCCTGTATCATCCCTAAACCCTAATCCCTGAACCCCAAACCATAAACCCTAAACTCCCGAAGCCCAAGACCCCACATGGGCCATATATATATATATATATATATAGATATAGATATATAGCTATATAAATATATATGATATATATATATATATATATATATATATATATATATACGTATTATCCCAAGTTGCCAGCAAGCAGCCGAGAACAGCGAACCAGAGACCCAAAGGCGCCAGGAGATCGACGACCACCGCTTTTGCACCCGGGATCCGAAGTGGCGATCCCAAAGAACTTCCTTCAGGTTTAGGGTTTAGGGGTTAGGGGTTTAGGGTTTAGGGTTTAGGGTTTAGGGGTTTAGGGGTTTAAGGGTTTAGGGTTACTGGTTTCTTGGCGAAGGGATCTAGCTTAAGTTACCTTAGCATGGGTCTATATTAAATGATACGGTTTCCCCGGCATCCGAAGTGGCGATGCCAAAGAACTTCCTCAAGCTGGGTTCTTGTCGAAGAATTTATACAGTTTACAGTAAGTTTCCAAAATAAGGAAACCACCATATTCATCATGTACTATAGACCCCTATTACAACATAAGCTAAACTCCTTAACAAGACCTTCCTTCAGGTTATATACCTTAACTACGAAGAACCTACCTTTTTAGGGTTCCCTATTATGATTTCCTTATACAAGTCCTTGAAAAGGTAGGTTCTTCAGGGTTAAGGTAAGGGTTAGGTTCAGGACTTTGGGTCTCGATGCTCCTTCACGTCTTGGGCCTAGGACTTAAAAGTTCAGGGCCAGGGCCTCGAACTTAGAGGAAACCGGCAACATGACATAAACAGGGGTTTAGGGTTTAAGGGCTTAAGGGCTTTTAGGGTTTAGGGTTTAAGGGCTTGAGGGCTTTTAAGGTTTAGGGTTTAAGGGCTTTTAGGGTTTAGGGTTTAAGAGCTTGAGGGTTTAGGGCTTTAAGGGATTTTAGGGTTTAAGGTTTAGGGTTTAAGGGCTTGAGGGTTTAGGGCCTAGGGCTTTTAGGGTTTAGGGTCTCGCTGCCACTAGTTTCAATAGCTATTGCTACGGTACTGATGACAGTCGTTTTTCCTGCTCAGCTTTCAGTGTTGGCAGTCTGGAGTTCGGATGCTTCCTTAAGGACGAAATGAACCCTAAAAGGGTTTAAGGTTCATATGTCAAAAAGGGATTCATAGTATCTGGGCATAGGGCCCCTACTTTTCAGGGTCATTTGTTCCTTCAGGTTGCAACGGGCTGTAGCAGCCCCGCAAGAAATTCGAGCGTAGGAGCGTAGGGTTCGAGGTTTAGCGTTTCGGACTTATACCTCAACCCCGAACCCCCGCAAACCCAAAACCCCATACGTTTAATTAAGGTAGGCGGTCTCGCAAAAGCCATACCACGGCTTGGGCAGACAGCTAATACGCAGGCCCAATAAATAATTACATATGCTACTTTGGTGGTTCCTTCTGGTGCTTATGGTGTCATATACCCCGAAACCATGTGCTATAGCTGAAGCGCCGGTATGTGACTGACGGTTACCACATGTTGTCATGACTACGGCCACAGTCATAAAATGATGCAATGTGTAAGTCATCACACTGACCATGACTGCCAAGAAAGGGGCAGGGTTTTGGGGCGCATTATACTCTACCTCTACTTTGTATTAATAAGGAACCCCCATGATAGTGTAGGCATTTTTAAAGCCCCTATATTACTCCGTTTACTCCGATCCCGCTCCTAGAAGGGCAGGAGCAAGGAGGAATTCTAAGGAACAGCTCGTGGCAGTTTTCAAGCTCAATTACCACATTCGCTGTCCATTTGCTGGTAAGATATGGCTTTAAACCCGAAGCCCCTAAACCGGAAGACTTTGAAGCCTTAACAATGTTCTCGACAGTTACGTAGCCCTGACATGAGTAGAACCTTAAGTCCTGCGCCAGAAACGTCGAAACGCAACGCCCATGCCCAAACCAAAAGAAAAAGAACATCAGCCAGAGTTGCGTGTAGCCACCCTTGAAGAAGAAGTAGTGGATTCCTTGTTATTGCAGGGCTTCGGGCTTTTGCTACGGTGTGGACGGTTCCGGGGTATGGTTTGGGGCTTGGGGTCCCCAGTCACTTGGAGCTCCTATCAGCAATTACCTGGCACATGTGCGCAGCAGTGATGCCAAAGCACCACACAAACGCTACATGATCATTGCCATCGCATGCCTGGTCCAGCTTGAACACACGTCATGTTCTATAGAAGGGTGTAAGCCTGTCAACAAATGTTTCATCTTCCTCTTCCAGATGGTCGTGCTCTATGCCTGCGCGAAGCGATTCTTCCTTTGGCTACCTTGTCCTTCGATTGTCGTTGTCATTGCTCCTACTTCCATGCATACTAGCAGCTCACTGTTTAAATCAGATGCTACTCGGACTTGAGCACATATTATGACTATGTTTAGCCATAATTATAATTATATGATTATGATAGAGTTCCCCGTCGTCCTCAAGACGCATTTTCTGGCGGAGATCCCCCGAACCCAGTTGATAAAGCAACGGAGCCCCACGGAGCCCTTGATATAGGCGCCTACATAATTTGAATAGGTTCTTGGGGCCCATTAGACGACAATTAGAATAAGGAACTCCCAAAGCAGTATAGGTAATGATTAAGGCCCCGCTATTATTGGCAAGCAATTGATGAGCAGAGCAATAACAACAGCATCGCAGAACCTGGACCCCACAGTACGAGTAATCGTATCACTAAATAACTAGTAAGAGCACATTTATGATGGCATCGGTAAGCACCATACTAAGCCCAGACGCGAAGTATCATGTCGCGGAGCATGCGGGGCAAAGAATCAGATGATGTCACCTGCCAGAGGCCATAATACTAACAATAACGACCATAGACTTACACATAATAATTGCCATAATCGTAACCACAATAAAAGCATCATCCGCGCTTCTTGGAGCTTGGGCTGTGCAGGCTTGAACCGGTCCCGAAGACAGCCAAACATCCGTCCTCATGTCGACGAACTTCAGCATAGGTCCCATTGGAGAATTGCAGCTCCTGATGCAATCACGCAGCTGTGCTGGTGCTACTGGTGTGGAGGCGGAGAAGAAGGAGGAGGGCTAGATGATTCAACGATTGTGATGAGAGAAAGCCATACTAATTAAGAGAAAGAACATGCTGATGCTGAAGAGTAAGCTGGAGAGAATGAGCAAAACGATACTATTGTTACTACTACTAGTAAAACATGAGTACTATTGTTAATACCAAACAACATGCTGATGATCATGGTGATAACGACGATGGTGCTGGTGATGTACAACACAACGATGAGGATGATGCAGATGATGTTGATGATGATGACGAAGATATGCGGGCGATGAAGATAATCATGATCATGACGACGACGATGATGATGGTTGTAGTTATGCTGACAGTAATGATCTTAGTGACTAGTGATGACGATAGTAATGATGATAGCGATGGTGATATTGGCGATGACATGTGGCAGTGATAGTAAGAGCGATGAGGGTGACTACTATAATGATGGTGATGATCTGGCAGGATGACTGGTAAGGAGGCTGACAAAGGACCCTGTGATGTGCGCGGTGACAACGAACATGCTGAACAATGCCACCATCATCGCGCAGCATTTCGGCCTGGCATGGAATGCTAACTAGCGGTCGGGGTCTGCTGGGCACGCTTGTGCCAGATGCAGCATCGGAAGTTGAATGGAATGCGGGGTCTTTGATGTAAGGCGCGGGGTGCAATCTCTTTCTCGGAGTGCAATGGCGCGTTTTGGGAAGTTCACGGCCCTCGACAATGACAAGAAGTTCGACACTGCGGCCACCCCCAAACGCTACACCCCTAAACCACTTTGAAAGCCCTGACCCCCTGAAGCCATCTAAAGTCTCTTCTCCTCTGTGCGCTTCTCAAGGAAACCAGCAGCAGAGGTCTTCTGCCCTGTCTCCTCCAGAGAAACCATACTTACCGTGGTTAGTAGGGAATGGAAGAATGGTAGTAATAGTCGTTATAATTGTACCCCCATTCCTCCATTCCCTACTAACCAAAGGTAAGCATAGGGGGATTCGGGTTGGATGGTAGCTTGAAGGGATTGGATTTAGGATTTCGAAGCTTCGGATTCTGAATTGGGGGTTTCCTCTACACGATTTAGGGGTCGCATGCTTCAGGTGTGTAGGGCTTATGGGGTTACAGATTTGAGGGTTTAGGTTTATAGTGTAAACTCCGAAGCCCTGCAGAGCTCTCGAAACCTGGGACTCCCCGGCCTAAGCCCTTGGCCAAGTGATGCTGCTGCCCGGGCGTCTTTTTATCAGTTCGGCGCATGTGGTTGTTAAGGGGGGCTTATAAACAGGATGGTACTCTGAAGGGTCTATGCATACTAGTTGTAAACCCTAGCTGTACCCTAGAACCGAGTATCGAGTAGAGCTCTATGCGTTTGACAATGCCAAAGGCGGTAGACACCTCACCGTGTCGGCCTTAAACTCGTTCACGAGTCTGGTGACAATCGCGCACTGTGGATCACCCGCGGGAATGTCATAGGAAGGCCTTGGCTTCGCTGAGAACGGGGGATTCGAGGCTTTGGCTTCAGGCGCTGACTCTCTCTCTCTCTCTCTTTCTCTCTTTCTCTCTCTCTCTCTCTCTCTCTCTCTCTCTCTCTCTCTCTCTCTCTCTCTCTCTCTCTCTCTCTCTCTCTCTCTCTCTCTCTCTCTCTCTCTCTCTCTCTCTCTCTCTCTCTCTCTCTCTCTCTCTCTCTCTCTCTCTCTCTCTCTCTCTCTCTCTCTCTCTCTCTCTCTCTTTATCTCTCTCTCTCTCTCTCTCTCACTCTCGCTCTCGTCCTGTCTCTGTATACGTACAGGCACATCTGACTAATTATATACATATGCATACTTACAAGCATACATACAGCATAAATAAGTACATATGTACATACATACATGCATACATACATACATACATGCATACATACATACATACATGCATGCATGCATACATGCACGCATACCTGCGTGTGTACGTACGGGCGCACGCTCATTCGTACATATGAATGTGACTATCGGTTTGTACATGTGCGTATATATCTCTACATCTGTATATCATATACACACACACATATATATATATATATATATATATATATGTATAGATGTATGTGTATATATATATGTATATATATATATATATCATATCACATATATATATATATATATATATATATATATATATATATATATATATATATATATATATATATATATATATATATACATGTGTGTATAGATATGTATGTATATATGTTTTATGTGTGTCTGTGTATATGTGCTTTTTTAAATATATATATATATATATATATATATATATCATCACCCTCCCTATATTATATGCATACGTATATCTGTACCTGCATGTATGTGTAAGCGCATGTGTATGAGTATATGCATATGCATGTGTACCTGTACAGCTTTGTTTATACTTATATGTATGCAATCACATACATGCATGTATCTGTATACATAAAAACATACATACATACATACATACATACATACATACATACATGTACACACACACACATCTATACGACATATACATACATACATACATACATTCATTCATTCATTCATCCATGCATTCATGCATAGACACGTATCTATACGACATGCTTACATACATACATTCATTCGTACATACGTACAAACATATCGTACCTATGTATGCATGCAAGCATGCAGGGAGGTGGGTAGGTAGGTAGGTAGGTAGGTATAGTAAGTATAGTATGTATGCCTATGTACATACACATGTGTGTATATATGTTTCTGTATATGTGTGTGTGTGTGTGTAAATATATATATATATATATATATGCATAGACGCGCATACTCGCATGTAATGTATGAACTTATTGGGTAGCTCTGTAGACATCCACATAGGTTTGGGGCCGTGGTGGGCTTTGGGGCCGTGAATGGGCTTAGGGCTTAGGGACAAGTCGCAGCCAAGCGGCGCACCGGACAAGAAGTGACCAGCTTGAGCCACGAAATGTGAAAATGTGCCTGGCTAAGAGCTTGGGCACGAGTCCAGTAGGTCGCAGGTTCTGGTACCTTTCTTGGGCGGGCTTCCTGTGATAGCATGTGCGGGAAGGTAACACCAGAAAGCAACAGCAATCACTGATCCGGCAGCTGCAGAGCCCCAATATCATGACCGGAAAAGTCTGCCAAACCTAAACCCCAAACCCCAATATAAATATAGGGCCCGTAAAGTTAAAGTTGGAATAGGGTTTTGGTGTGTATGATACCATAGTTATGTTAAGGAACCATATTTAGCCCGAGTATACTACCCCTGAACTCTAGACCCCAAACTTTGCCAAGAAGCTTCCAGGCTTTGAAAAAGTGCCCAGCATCCAAGTTGGCAGATCCTGGTGAGATTTAGGCCCCTAACTTGGGCTTTCTGGGTTTAGGCTTTAACTATTAATGGCTTACCTGAAGGACCAAATAACCCTTAAAAGTATAGGGCCCTATACCCATATACTATGAATCCCTATATGGTATATGAACCCTTAACCCTTTTAGGGTTCATTTCGTCCTTAAGGTAGGGCCAGTTTAGGGTTTGAGGCTCAGGGTTGCCGTTTAAGATGACAAGAAAGCTCTCCCAAAACTTGCAGACGCACAAGTGCACGAACTCCCGAGTTGCAAACTGATATCTATTCCCTGCGCAAACTTGAGGGTTAAGGGCTTAATCCAAAAATTTAATCTAGACCCCCCAAAGTATATACCCTGTAGAAAACCCCAAATACCGACTATTCAGGGCCATAAGGACTCTATTAAAGGGCCCTTTGGGGGGTCCTGGAAACTCCAAACCCTAAACCCAGCACCTTGCTCCGGAAGCTGGGTGCTCCGGGCACATACGAGGCGGGGAAGGCTTCTTCGCGTTTCTCCTGAAAGGATTGATCGCAGAGTTTTGAATATAAATTCGGAAGGGCGTCGTGGCTGTTAGGGTTTGCGCGATCAGGAGATTGGCACGTAGTTTTCGTGTAAGGGTCGGGGTGTGGGCGGGCAGGGGGGTAGTTGTCCTCTGCATAAAACGAGACTGTAAGACGAAAGTCCAGAAACACTGACAGTGCCGTCTTAGGGTTCGGGGTATGTTGTTTGAGAGTTTCAGGCTCAGGCTTGGGGAGGGTTTGAAACTAAATCCCCAAGCCCCGAACCCTACCACCCCTCTATCTGTCAATAATTTTAGGATTTAGGGCTTGGTCCCGGGATCTGTGTCTAGGGCTTCACACAGTGCTTTTCCCAGCCAGCTCCTTGTCGTACATTGATTCAATTACCAGCTCGTTGCCCTTAAGTGTACCCTGGGCCGTCGCAGAGATCTTATAGTCGACATACGGGACATAGGCCCCCCTTGGCGGCACGCAGCTTAGATCACACAGAGTCTGGTGTGCTTGTCTCAACCTACGAAACCCTTAACCCTAAACTCCACGGCTGCCATTCTCTCTTTACGTAACTTGGATCAGGTGCTGGCAGTGGAAAGGAGACTGGGCAAGTGCATGGTTCGAGTTGCCTAGACAAGAGGCATCAGTAGAATCTTCTAACCAGGTTTATGGCTGAATATACTAAACAGGCAACATCCGAAGACGATGGAGATCGTTGCCGATCGCAGCCGTGCTGCGCAAGCGAAGACGACAACGGCGGTGTATCGCATACGGTCATCTTCAGAATCGCAATCAATGCCGTTCGCTTCAAATCATCATCATCATCATCATCATCATCATCATCATCATGGCGATTCTTCTTCATCACCAGATCTCAACAATATCAACACGAGGATCCATGTGCTGCTGGCCATGAAATTTGTTCCGGGAATTCCAGAGTTCATTCCCGACGAGAACCACCACAATGGCAACAGCCAAAAGAACTCCGGTCATTTTTCGTTGCCAGAGGCGCATTTGAGAGGCCGTGCCAGCAACGTTCACCAAGTAGACGGTATCTGCATCCACAAGCCCTGACCCTGCGTCCAGCAGCTTGCCAGTTCCCCGCTCATATATCCTGGGTGTCGTCGTTTAGGATTTAGTGTTTTTAGGGTTCCAGGTTTTAGGATTTATTTTCAGTGACGCAGCTTCTGAAAGTGCCGAGCCAGAGGCACACAGCTGAGAGGAATGGTTTTTCGCAATACTACAGGGTCCTTATTCATTCAACCAGGGCTTTGTGGTATACTCTTTCCTGTACAGTATATTATACTCTTAATTAGGAACACAGAGGAACGGTTAAGGTAATTATTCAGACTTCTGTATTCGGCGGCTCCTTGTGGCCATTCCTTAAGCCGGAGTCGATTAACACTCACGATCGCGTCGCCAGATGGCCTGAAGAACTCCCGCTGTCCGCGAGATATACCTTAAACCCGAAACCTGAGAGCCTAAACCCTACCTTAACCCGGAATAACCTACCTTTTAAGGCCTTATATAAAGGAAATGATAATAAGGAACCCTAGAAAAGGTAGGTTATTCAGGGTTAAGGTAAACCTTCAACCTTGATTAAAACCCTAAACCCATCTCTCGCTGAGCGGCTGATACTGTACTTCCGGAGAGTCCCGACTCAGATGCAGCTTCATGGACACGTCTGACTTCTCGAACGTCGCCTTACGGGTTTAGGAGTTTAGGGATGATGGGTTTAGGGTTTAGTTAGGAGTTTAAGGTTTAGTAATTTAGCATTGGAAGCTGGGATATTTTGAAAAGTTGGGGCGTGAGGGGGCTTCTTAACACATAAGTGCGTTGAGGCTTGTTTATCGTTTGGGGATGCCTTAGAGGGGTCCTTGGAATGTGGAGTGCCTTGCCGGGCACCCCTTCCTATGAATTCGAAACTGTACAATACAGTGGCCGTAAGAACTACTTGAACAGGATGTTGGGGTAATGTGAGCTCGTGATTAGTAATGGTCCCCTCAATAGAGCTAAACTCGGTTCGGAACTCAATAATGGAGCAGCCCCCTCAATAGAGCTAAACTCGGCCTGCACGTAATAGTAAACTCCCCCTCAATAGTCGTAACTTCCGTCCCGGTTCTATTTTCCGAAGGTTTAGGCAAATAAACACTCCTACTACAAAGTGACGCCCCGGAAGAGGAGAGACAGAGACGGAACCTAAAGCCTCAAGCCTCAGGGATTCAGGCCAAAGCTCCAAACTCTGGCTTTGGCTGCCAGATCTTTAGGCTTCTTGTAGAAACCCCTTATAAAAGCAGCCATCCCATCAACTTTTCTAAGGGGTAGGTAGTATACGATAGCTGCCCACCCCACAATAGTTAGGATGAAAAAACACCCTCAAAAGTGCAGTGGACAGCCTGAGGCCTCCAGAACAGCAAAGCAGAATCCCTTTGTGTATTAAAAAACCATAAGGCTTCTATATAGAGAGCAAGAGGGCTGCTGAAGATGGGCGTTGTTGCAGAGAGGCCCAACCCAAGAAACAAAGAGCGTACTACCGCACTACTGTAATACTGCTGTACCACCACTGTACTACTAATGTACTACCGTACTGCTTCTGTACTACTGTACTATGAATTAATTACTGTACTACTACTGTGCTACTGTACTACTACTGTACTGCTACTATACTACTGTACTACGAATTACCACTGTACTATAACTGAGAGCCCCGGCCTCCAAACAACTTAGACCCCGGCCCCCCGAACAACTAAAGATGATCAGGGAGGCGGCCCCCCGACCACTAATGCGGATTCGGGATGTTCAGGGGGGGGGGCATTACTAATCAGGAGATCACATTACATCTTTTGTAATACGGTATGGAGTATGGCGAATCTGTAACTAGGTGTTTCCCTAACCTTAAAGCCTAAACTTCCTAAACCCTTTCGCCCAAGCCGCCACACCATTTTCATCAGCAACCTTCCAGAAGGTGCTCGTCAACCTCTCAGCACGAGGCTCGACCCCGTTTCAGCCTACCGGCACTTCGCGAACTCAGTCCGGAAAAGCAGGCAACGAGCAATGCCAGAGTAGTACCAAAATTCAAAGAAAGACAATGCACTGGCTATATCATTTTAGCAACTGAAAACAAGGCTGCGGGACTTGGGCTGTGGATTACAAGCATTGCCAACTTGCTTTAAACCCGCTATACTCCAGCCGTCAATGCCGACCCGTAGAGCCCCAACCAACCTAAACCTAAACCGGAAACCCTTCTGACGAACGCACTGACCGATCATTGCACATGTGCATCTTGAGAAGTGCGGTTCGTTCGCCGGTAAAAGCTCAGGACCAGCAGGTGGGAGGGTAGGGTCCACGCGCGCGCTCGCATGGCATTCTTCTCAACTTTTGGGATTCGGAAAGTCGGATTTTGGGATTCGGGAAGTCGGATTTCTTTCTTGCGACAGGGTCACAAACTATCAGGGCGAACTGCAGGCAATTCACAACCCTAAACCCTGACAAAGATTCCAAGTTCATCATGGCATGTACTGCGCTCGCTTATATACGTGTTATGAATATGCGTCTGATCTAGCCATATTGATTTCTGAGAATCGAGCTGTCCCATTCAGGGGTGCTGCATTTGGAGCTTAAGTGTGGATCTTGCACTTCAGACCTGCAAGCATGTCAGCGTGAGTGTGTGTGTGTGTGTGTGTCACATGTGTTCAACATGATCTCTGGTGGTAATCGCCGTCTCCATGACATTCTACAGCCACATGTGATACGCGTGCTCCGATGTAACCCTACCCTGCGTCGTGAGATTTCTTACCTCCAGCAGGATAGAAGTTCAAACTTCGAGGAACATGATCACTTGCAAGTATAAGAACCCACAAATGATGGAACACATGCGCGCCCGGGAGAAGTAATGCTAAACTGAAGCTAAGAAGCATGCTAGAGCAGCATGGACCTGTGGCGGCACCAAGTTGCGTTGGCACCAAGTCGCCTGTGAATTGAAACTTCGGCGTGTTCTAACACTGGCACCGAGCTTGTTCTGGTACTAGTACTCATACCACAGCAGTACCAGTAGAATTCGTCGTCGTAGTCGTGGTAGTAGTCTTACTAGTACAAGCAGTCGACGTGGTAGTGGGTAGTACAGTAGTAGTGGTAGTAGTAGTAGTAGTAGTAGTAGTAGTAGTAGTAGCAGCAGCAGTAGCAACAGTAGTAGCAGTAGTAGCAATAATAACAATGGTAGCAGTAGCTGCACTAGCAGCAGCGGCAGTAATACTACTACTATTATGATTCCTATTGTTCTTCTGCTATTTATTCTTGTTATTCTGAGTAGTGGTGGTGGTAGTGATAGTGGCAGTGGCGGTGGCGGTGGCGGTGGCGGTGGCCGTGGCGGTGGCGGTGGCGGTGGTGGTGGTGGTGGTGGTGGTGGTGGTGATGGTAGTAGCAGTAGCGGCAGCAGGAAAAGTAGGAGCAGTAGGAGTAGTGGGAGTGATAGGAGTAGTAGAAGGAGTAGTAGGAGTGGTGGGAGTAGGTAGCAGCAGTAGTAGCAGTAGTTGTGGTTGCTGCGGATGCCGTTGATGCCGTTGCTGCTGCTGTTGATGTTGATGTTATTGTTGTGATGGTCGTTGTCGCTGTCATCGTCATGGTCGTAGTTGTTGCTGGTGGTTGCTGATGCTGCTGCTGCTGTTGCTGATGCTTTGGTTGTGGGTGTTGTTGTTGTTGCTGTCGTTGGTGGTGGTGGTGGTGGTGGTGGTGGTGGTGGTGGTGGTGGTGGTGGTGGTGGTGGTGGTGGTGGTGGTGGTGGTGGTGGTGGTGGTGGTGGTCGTGGTGGTGGTGCCAGTGCTGGTGCCGTTGCCGGGTGCTGGTATTGGTGTTGTTGCTGCTGCTGTGGTTGTTGTTGTTGTTGCTGCTGTTGTTGTGGTTGTGGTAGTGGTGGTTGCGTTGCTGTGATTGTGGCTGCAGCTGCAGTTAACGTCGTGGTGCAGTTGCGGTTGCGGTTGGGGTGGTGGCTGTCGTTTGCTTTGGCGTTGGCGCTATCGATGTGGTGGTTGTCGTTGTTGCTGTTGTTGTTGATGATGTTGATGTTGTCGTCAGAAAGACAGCACCATGGAAACCAACACCAGCAATATAACAAGTCCTGCAGACTGTTCGGGTGAAGGGCCTGATCTTCATACGCATCTCTGACATGCCGCTTCTCTTTTGAATCTTGAAAGAGTAGACAAGGATGGCGTCTCAGCATTCTTGGAGGAACTCTGCAGAAAAGCTTAGAGAGGCAATCATCACATAACGAAAACAGTCTAACGACGGAATAGGGTTTTGGGGTCCAGAATACTGTATAGTAATTACAATCAAATTCGGAACCCCCCCCCCCCCCGCCCCCCCCACAAAAAAAAACGAGCAAATAGTATAAACAATATTGAAGGTCCCTATAGTGAGCCCCAGCTTCGAAGATCCCGCCTCCATTACCGAGGCCCAAGACTATCATGCAGCGCTCTTCCGCGGATCTCGGCAAGGGACAATATTCTTCATACTTCGGGGCTGCAGTCATAAGAGGGTGATGGCATGATGGTCAGGGAGCATCTAAGCCAGACCAACAACCCCGCCCAATGCATGCAGGATCAAACGTGCGATGTTGACAAGTTTTGTGACATCAGGCAGTCCGCCGCTCGCGCTCTTCACGCTCTTCCTCGGATGCATAGCTGGGGCTGAGAAACCTCAGAGGCGCGCAAACAGCTTCAAGATACTCAACATGTGGAGGGCTTCCTAGGGCTCCGAGTGGCAAAGCTCTCGCGCTGGCTTGGGGATTGAAGTTTTTGTCTTAGCCTCGGCTGCGCCTTCGAAGCTTAAGACCACCTAATGTAGGGGCTTATAATAATCAGGATAATTGGGACAGGGTTTTGGGGAGTTTTATGCTACAAGTATAAAAAAGGAATCCCCAAACATAGTATAGGTAATCATTTAGGCCCCTGTAGTAGCCTTTTCATCCCTGAACCCTCAACACCAAAACCTCTAGCCATCCCGCACAGTCCCCGAGTCCGGTCCCAGACCTTGGGCTGCGAGTCCCGGGTTCATAAGGAACCCCACCAGTAGGGTTTAGGGTTTAGGGCCCGGCCCTAGGCCCTAAACCCTGATTTATTCAGGCTTCATATAGACCCATTGGATGACATCCACGACTCTTCAAATTCTCCTCTGCTGGGTTTAAACTGGAGCAGTGATCTTCATCGCCGCCACGGCACGACTGCGATGCAGTGTCGGTGGCCATCTTCGATACTTCTTCCGCCGTGAAAACTTGCCCGTTGTCGTTCTTGAAAGCATTGACGCATCCACAAAGGGAGGTGAAGTAGCCTCGGTGCCACATGCTGGTCCACTTCCGGGGCTAAGACACACTTGGAGCATGATACAAAACCACACAAAACCCTCGAGAACCCCTGTACAACCCTTATGCAACCCTCTACAGCGCCTCAAATCACACAAACTGTATCGACCATATGGGAGTTTCCGAGAATAGGGGACCCTAATACAGCACCCTAGATAGAAGGATCCCAATTCGCCTCGGCCCCGGCCGAAGCGGTCAGAGGTTCGGATTCCCTCTGTTCCCCACCTCTTAATCCCCTCCCCAGTGACCCCACCCTCGGAGAAGTACTGCTGGACCCCTCCCCCCTGAAATAGCTGAGCCCCCAGGCCTCTCCAACGGATTTTGGCTCTCTGTAGCCTTCCTCCTCCGGGCCACTTTCCCTCCCCTCCTCACACCCCTCCCCCTTCACCTAAAAATGCAGCACATGCCGGCTCATGTACATAAACCCTGAACCCAGTATAAACACTATAGACTATAGATCGCGGGGGGGGGGGGGCCCGACCGAGCATGGCATCCATGCCGCCGTTGAGGAACGTGCAGCGAAGAATGAGGGTTTAGGCTTTAGGAGCAAGTCGTTACCGGATGAAGGTGCTCAGTCTGCATACCTCAACCAACCCTAAGAACCGGGAAAACAAAGGAAAAAAGGATACAACTTAAAACTAAGTTTTAGGGTTTGCGGGTCCTTCAAGGACGCCTTCACAGTGCGCTTGCTTCTGTCACGGCCGGGCCGAGGCGGACGACGCGAAGCGCTTAAAATTACAAGGATCCAACAGAACGGTATCCCTAGTTTTCGGAAACTTCCATATAAAGCCCTACAAGTCCAACTTCCATATAAAGCCCAACAAGTCCCTTATCATAGCAACACCAAGCCCTTTTTCAGAAATGTCCAAGAGGCCGTGCAAAAGCCGAGCCTCAGCCGCCGACCCCTGGGGCACTGACGCCGAGTGGGCCTCCAGAAAACAAAAGCATAGCTTTGCTGCCCCCACCCTGTAATAGTGACTGTAAGGATTATATTAGGGCCCTATTATATGCCTATTATAGCACTATTACAAGGTGGGGGCCCCTTCTAAAGCATAGCCCTTAACATGTGGCTAGTTGTCAAGATTAGGGTCGCCGTATTATACCCGGTACCCAGAAAAGGGACCATAATTTTCACAACCACTCGTGTAAGAGTGGTTACCTCAACCTTGCTTCTATCCCCACTTATAACCCTAAACCCTAAACCCTAAACCCCTAAACCCTAAACCCTAAACCCATGGAAATCGAAGTAGACTCCAAAGTCCCCAAGAAGGTTGTTGAAGGTTCGCTCGTGGTTTTCATCGGTCTTTTTCTGCAGGGCTCATGGGTTCGCTTAAGAGTCCCGTTTGAGTGTTTATGGGTTTTAGTAAGGGTCGCTACGGGGTTGCAGAGGATCCTAGTCGGGTTTTGGGTTTATTGTGTCGAAACTTCGTGGCCTGAACTTAGAGCACATTTCAGCTCAGCCTACATCTTTGGGAGTTTCAGAACTTAAGAGGAGCCGTACACAAACGCCCTCGGGCAGCTCGGTGCGAATCCTATCCTAACTGTTCAAAAGTGGTCTAGAAATGAGGAGGCTTCTTGTAGACAGAGATCGTGAGACTACGCCAGTTCGGGTTTTGGGTTTACAGTAGGGTTTGAGACAAGTTCTTGTCTGAGCTGCACTTGGCATCGAAGCAAATGACCGAACCCAACTGTGGCACAAGCAGGACACGACGAGCACACTAGAGAAGATGTCGGGATTTCGAATTTCTTGATGTCTGAACCCTGAACCCTAAAATTTAAACTGAACCCCAAACCGTTTCAACCCATGTCAAAGAAGGCCCCGATCATATAGATGTGGGACCACAGGATCTGCACCCAGATCCTCTGCCGTTCATTTATAGCTCTGGCAGCCTCTAACATAGGGGCCTTAACAAGTAGAATAGCGTTTTGGGACCCATTGTACTAAAATTAAAATAAGGAACCCCTGAAATAGTATGGTAATTATTTAGGCGCCTATATTACTGAATTCGGGCCTCCTGCAAACAGAGAAAGATCATCTGGAACAAGAGAGAGCGACCTAACGAGAGGCTTCGTTGAGGGGTGACTTGACACCAAATTTCCGCTGTCTGCGCGGAGTCTTTGCAAACATAGGTCTGTCGTTTCAAGCTCAGGGCATGCATTGGTAGCTGCCGCGGTTCGTGCCGGACACTTCAGAGTATCTTCCTCTGATGCCCGGATGCCGGACTAGTAGAAACTACCACTCTGAGGCCTCGGACATCACAATATGACAAATTGTCACAATGCAGATCGCCACCACCACCACCCCCATCATCATCGCCACAACCACGACCACAACAAACAGAACCGCTACCTGCATGGAACCTGTGTTTTCTTTGCTGCGTATTCGCATACGCCCCGGACTCATTCATTTATTTATCTCCATGCCACAGGGCAAATCCGAGAGCACAGCAAAGAAAACACAGACTGCGGCTGACCACGCATTTCGACAATCCCTGTGGGCGAATGCACGGCGAAAACCACGGGGTTCCCATCATTCCGATCATGAATACTATTTGCTTAAGATTCCCCAAAAAATAGAAATATATTCCTTATGGGGGTAATATAGGGATTATTATTTCTTATTTTTTGTGGGTTTCTTAAGCAAATAGTAGATGATGATACTGTTCATCACTTTCGTCATCACCGCCGCATCACCGCTCACCTAATTGATCGTGTTCATCAGCGTCGTCATCTTTCTGCACGAAGTTTGTAGTGAAACGAAGCTCGATATCGTGCCAACCACGGACATGTTGGGCAACACACCCCTGCTAACCCCGATGACGGCCACTTCTACAGCAACAACCAGCGCTTTTTTTCGCCGAAAGGCCGGAACGAGGAAACCAAACTGCCATGGCAGCCGGGGAGGTCTGTAACAAACGACTGTCGAGCTTGAGCAGAGAGTGCTGCAGATCACACATGGGAGCCCCGACTCTCTGTGGAGCCTTGTTGCCCGAACTTGAGGTCGCCTTCCTTTCTGTCTCCTTCTTATAACCCTAACTATAGGGAGACCGGAAGATGCATCGCTGAGGCTTCACAGCTGACACTTAGGGTCCTCGACTTCAGCTACATGTTCGCCTTTTGTCTTTGAAGCCGGGGAATCTAACGGAGGTGCTGACCTAGTTGCAGAAAAGGTCTCGCAGGATTGCAGGGCGTTATCGGGCGTGGGGGTTCAGGTGTTCAGGGGTTTAGGGTTTAAGGGTTTATTTTAAGGGTCCAAAGGACCCAAGAAGCAGGTACTTGGGTTTAGGATAGTAGCTATGTAGCTCAATATGTATGAAAGTATATGATTATTAGGTACTTGGACCCTTAGGGTTTAGGGTGACCAGCCAGCAATGGATTTTTCGAAGCTCGGACTGCTACTGCTACAAAGTAGCGCGGACCTCGGTGCCACAAGTCTTCCCTCAAGCCTTCAATACGTAACTTTCTGAGGAACCGACCCGTAATCCGGACATCTCCACCCCAAACTCTAAACAAAGCCGAAGCCCTCCCCAACAACAAGATAACAAAAGCAAAGGCTGTAGCTCGGAGCCCTCCGGCGTGAGGATGCCTGACGGCACCTTCGGGTATTGAAGGGGTGTTCTGAGGAGGGACACTGTGGGGCCCCTGTTTTTCCACGCACAAGGTGTTTTTATGCGACGATTTGTGGATTGTCGCTTAAGATACCGTCTTGGCATGATTTCAAACTTTGCCCGTACGAAAAACGTGGTAACATGTACACACACACACACACAAAAGGTGTAACTATGTACCCTTGTAAAAGACGATGCAAAACGAAGCAATATCAGACTTTCAAACCGTGAGGGGTTTGATAACTCATTTCTGAAGCCTCCAGCCAGCCCCTAGTGGGCGGTGGGGGCGGAGGGGAACTAAGTTTAGCTTCGCTCCCGTGTACGCACGCGGCGCATGCGGCTGACAATTGAATTCCCGTGCAGTGTACTCGTCTAGATCCATGTACATTTAAACTCTAAGTGGGAGTTTCCAAAAATTAAGGGTACCTTATTCTGGGGTCCTTATACTAAGGACCCTACTATTTAGGTTACTATATTGCGGTCCCCGAATTTTCGGAAACTCCCAAATATGACATATGATATGGAGACCTAACTTTAATCAGAAACCTCAATTCTTAAATTTGACCCACCATTGTCTGTTTGAAGTCAGCTCCGGCAATAACAACTTAGTTTTTGCTTTCATCACGTCAGCATATGCACCGTTCGTCCCTTTAAGAATGCACGATTATATCATCTCACATTGACAAGGTCGCAATCCAGAATTGTCATCATGCTTGGCAGATTCGAATGGTATTAGTAACGGGAAACAAAGAAAACGGATGTATCCAATGATGTTCATACTCATGTCTCGAATGTCCTGCTACAAAACTAGACTTTCCGAAACACTGCTGCACTACATGGAAACTTGAACTTGTAGGGTCGCGGTAGTCGCCGCAAGACGGAACGCAACTCAGCGGAGAAGAAAACTGCCGCGGGCCTTGCTTTGGCTCCAAGAGAGGAGGGTAACCACCTCGTTTCATGTACGCGCGGATTTGTGGGGACAGGGATTTGGCTTTGAGATTTCTGTCAGGTGCTCTTTTTGCCAGAAACATACCTGCAATCCAGGAGAGCCATGTAAAAAGCAAACCGTCTTTCCACTTCAAAAACCAAAACCATAGCTAAAACCCTTGGACCCAAACCGCCAAGCCCCACAACACTAAACCATAAATCCTTGAACCCCAAAAACTCCTGTGCCCAGGAACTATTTACACCCTTCAACACCGGAGTTGACTTCGCAGTCTTCCCTCAGTAACATGGCTGAGTGAGCTCTGGTGAGGAGTCCCGCCTCAAAAAGCAGAGCATAGATAACGGACAAAACGCTGAGTGGCTCAGACCCCCAAAGTCCTAAGCCCTACGCCGTTAAACCCAACATCATAGAGGAACACGTATATCCAA